ATATATAGTTAGACATCATTGTGCAAGTTGATGCAATTAGAAAGCAACAGGTAAAAGAAGAGAAGGGAGGGCAGGAGGGAGGGTGGGCGGCCGGGCCAGCCGTAGGCCTTTGAGAACTCAAGAAAATAATCAACAGGGGAAAGGAGAGTCCCAAGTCTCCTCAGCTGAAGATCAGGACCAAGGCATTCATTCTTCTTAATGGCTCCAAATAGGCAAGGAAAAATGAGGTTACGAGAAGCATAAAGAAGTTCTACTTTTTAAAAAGCAAACCAAAAATTTCTGCATCTCCTACATGATCAAATTCTTTCAAGGAGTAACAAACAAGGAGGCAAAAGAAAAACCCACTCCTGGAGAAGCCTTCTGCTCACATTATCGATTTGAAGAATACTACTTTTGAAATTTTCTATGTATGAACAATCTTAGAACATTCCCCTGAAAAGTAGACATCCAGTAGCTACAAGAGCTCCTAACTTCAAGCAATTTTGAAAGAAATACAAAACTTGAAGTTTCTCAAAAGGGGGTATGTGCAGAAAATGAAGGAAGACCTTTATATCTACAGTTTTAGAGAACTAGAACGAGAATGATAGTAAAGGCTCATTTATCGACAAAGAAAATTTGGGATATTTGCAAAAGAAAAAACTTTGGTAGAGAAAACTGGAATGTTAGTAATTTACTATTGGTCCAAATTAAAGCCAGAACTGCCCAAACAACACTTAAAATCTAAAGCACATTGAAAACCAGGTGATGAATTTTTGTTCCTATAATAATTTTAAAAACATGTTGATTTTGGTCTCTCGCAATTATCACATGATATTAATTTTTAATATGAAGCACTGGATCTTCTCTTACCGTGTGCAATGCTCTAGTACAAATGATCAGTGATTTTTCTATTTTAGCTAGTTTTATAAGTACCTGTTAATCTGCACTGTAAACTTGGGGCTAAGCCATATATACACATCCCATATTCACAAATTGAAAAATTTCAGGATGTGAATATATATTATATAGCAATTGTTACCCTAATTAAAAACTTGTTTGCAAGTGATTTTGTTTAAAAAACATCCTTTTCAATGTAAGAGAACACTGCCTAGCAAAATATCAACAGCTATGACAACTCTTTTTTCTTCCAAAGGAAAATCACAGAACAGGTGAACAACCAAGTCCAGGGTGGCTTTTCTATTTGATAAATACATCCACTCTGTACAGTAAATAAAGTTTGCATGCAGTTTTAAGTATCTTCAAATGACACTTTAAGCAAATAAACTTTCTGCTTCATAAGTAATGGTGTATAAGAACCCCCATTAAGTCATAGGGACCTCTTCCCCAGTTCCAAAGTGGAATCATAAAGACCAATACTTTCTTAAAAGTTTCTGCACATCATTCTAAATAACATGCAAAGAGTTCGACAACATTCTTCTTAAGGGTAAGTATTACTCTTTAAAATGGGCATGTTAACCACTGAGAAAAAGTCCACTCCACTATTTCCATTATACAGCTTCATTTGGTCATCGGTAGTAAAAAAAAGCAGTCAAATAATATAGAATGAATGGGTTAGTTTATCCACCAGCTATCGCATATGATACCAAATGCTTCAAGGCCAACATTTTATGCAATGTAGTTGTACTGGTTTGGATTTTCTTTATCTCTTTCCATGTAGTCCCGGTCAATTAAAGATTCTATTCTCTTCTTAAGATCAGCAGGCTGTAAGAGAAGGCAAATTTCCAATGCAAAGTTCATAATCATTACCTCAAGTCCACTTACCATCACCCCATTAAAAACAACAATTTTGGATTACAGTTTTACTGTATTTAATTTCCTTAACTTAAAAAAATTACTTATTTAAATCCTGTTAATTTCTTTAGTGAACAGTTTAATGAAAAAAATTTCATAATTATTATACCACCACATTCTTGTCATATCATTATATTTTCTATTACTTTGCTATTTTTTTTTTGTACTGGAAATTAAATTCAGGACGTTACGCTTGCCAGGAAGGCGCTTATGCCACTAAGCTGTATCCCTGGCCCTACTGTGCTATTTTAAATAGATCTTCCCAGACTAGTTACCCTCTGCACAACTGAATACCAGACTAAACTCAACGTAACCCCACTTAAGGAACACATTATAGTTTAGGGAAGCAATTGCTATTTAATTTTCTCAAAATAGTTTGAGAAGCACTCTTTTTCTTAGGAAAAAGCTAGTTCTCCAAGTTCTCAGTTTTATAAAGTTTAAGCTATATAGAAGAGGCTATTTTGTCTCTTTGTGGCAGCCCATCCTATGCTGTATGGTGTATTTTTATTTTTTCCTCCCTCTTCCTACTTTTACTTGGCCCAAGCTTGCTCTGTAGAGCCTGTCATTTCCCTAACCTTGTTTTTTACCCCTAACTTTAATAAATATGAAACTGCCACTATTAAAAGAAAAGCTGTGTAGAGGAATCAAACTCGTGACCTCACACTTGCCAGGCAGGTACTGTGCCACTGAGCTATATCCCTGGCCCAGGAAATTACTATTTAAAAGAATACTACGTAAAGCTGGACATGGTGATGCAGGCCTGCAATCCCAATCCTTTGTGAGGCTGAGGCAGGAGAACAGCAAGTTGGAGCCCAGCTTGGGCAACTTAGTGAGACCCTGTCTCAAAAAAATAAAAACAAAAACAAAAAAAATTAATAAAGAGCTGGGGAGGTAGTCCAGTGTGAAGGTCCTTGGCTCCAACCCCAGAACTGCAAAAAAGAAAAAAAAAAAAGACAAGAGACTACTACTTCAAAGTGACTCAATAGCTGGGGTGGGGCGTGGGGTGATGTATGGTGGTGCACACCTGGGAGGCTGAGGCAGGAAGATTGCTCTGAGTTTGATGCCAGCCTGGGCTACATAGTGAGTTCAAGGCCAGCCAGAACTACATAGTGACACCTCATTGCAAAAAACCAAGAAACAAAACAAACAGAGCAAAGCAAAACAAAATCGGCTCAATAAGTGAAGTGTCACATCTACATATCTTGGGTTTAGTGTAAAATTTAAATGTTCATCTATTTTAAGTGATTTAAATTTCTGAATCTTGCGGTTTAAAAATCAAGAAAGCCTATAGCTTATCATCACAACTGCACTTAGTTCATGGATGAAAAAATTCCATTATGTCTTGTGCATCTAGCATATAAAAAGGCTATAAATAGTCATCCCTTGGTAAATGTAGGTAAGTGGTAGCAGAATCCACAGACATCAAGACCAGCCTGAACTGCATAGTGAGACCCTGCCTCAAAAAGAGCAAAATGAATAAACAAATAAATAATAGAATAAAATGGTACTGTACTAGCATTTAACCTATGTACAACCTCCCATATATTTTAAAGTCATCTTCAGACAATTTATAATACCCAATTCAATGCAAATAGTTGTTATCTTGTGTTGCTTTATGTACTGACCAGGGAATAATGACAAGAAAATATCTGTACATGTTCAATACAGATGCACGAGGTTTTTTGGATGAGGATCTTACTGTGTTGTCCAGGCTGGCCTCGAATTCCTGGGCTCAAGCAATCCTACTTCAGTTTCCTGAATAGGTGGAGCTACATCACTGTACCTGTCAACCACAGCCAAATTCTCTTTTTTTTTTTTATTTTGTCTTTTTGAGACAGGTTCTTGCTATGCAGTTCAGGCTGGCCTTGAGCTCACTTTGTAGCCCAGGTTGGTCTCAATCTCGCAACGATCCTCCTGCCTCAGCCTCCCGAGTGCTGGGGTTATAGGCGTGCGCTACCACACCAGGCCTAAACTTTCAATTTATGATGCAGAACCCATCCACATGGAGGGCTGAGGTATATACTCTTGCTTTGAGCATATTTTGTGCATATGTAAAATGATCACCAGATCAAAAAGGAAAAGCGAGGTACAGAGAATCACACCTATAGTCCCAACTACTCATGAGGCCGAGGTGGGAGGATCTCTTGAGCCCAGAGGTCAATGCCAGTCTGGGCAACACAGTAAGACCCTGTCTTGAAAACAAAACAAGCACACACAAAGGGAAAGAGGAAAACGATAAGCAAAAATTTTATCCAGTAATCCCAAGGTTTGAAAATCAAATTATTTTCTTTTCTTAACTGCCTCCTAGCATCAAGGAACTCTCTGGCTAGAGGTGAAATAAGTGTTGGGCCAAGTCTGAGAATGAGAGTGTGATAATGAAAAGGATAGCTACTGAGTGGTTACTATATGCCAAGTCCAGTGCTTTTTTTTCCATTCATGATCTCATTAAGCCTCACAGTAATCTTTTTTTTTAATCTTTTTGAGACAGGGTCTCGCTATTCAGTTCAGGCTGGCCTTGAGCTCACTTTGTAGCCCAGGCTGGTCTCAAACTCACAACGATCCTTCTGCCTCAGCCTCCGAAGTGCTGACATTACAGGCGTGCACCACCACACACGGCCAAGCCTCACAATAATCTTATGAAGTAAATACAACTGTTATTTCCATATTACAACAGAAGAAACAAGTTCAACAAGGTTAAATATTTGCCAAAGTCCAAAGCTCCATGAACCCTAACAACCAGGAGTCTGAAGTCTATCAAGAGCTTATCAACACAAGCATTTAGAAACAGTTTAAAACTTGTCTAATACAATATCACATTGTCTAAACATCTTCATTACTGGGAATTTACACTGGACTATGCCCATTTAATGACCAGTTTCATTTTAACAAAACTATCATTAGATTTTTTAAAAGACATCAGCTGGGCACAGTAGTGCATGTCTGTAATCCCAACACTTGGGGGTTGGCTAATGTAGGAGGACTGCATATATAATAAGATCTTGTCTCAAAAAAACCAAAGGAAAAAAAAGATACAAGACACTAAAGCAAGGTTAGATTTGATCAGTACACACTGTATACATGTGTGAAAGTATCACACTGAACCCCACTAATAAGTATAATACAAGTTAATCAATTAAAAACTTAAAATATTTTGAGAGACACTTTGTTTTGAGACAGGATCTTGCTTTGTAGGTCAGGTTGGTCTTGAACTCATGGGGATCTTCCTGCCTCCTCCCCAAGGGCTGGGATTATACCACACCCAGCTAAAAGACCCTTATTGATGACTAGTTATTTGTATTTTTTTTTTTGTGGTGCTGGGGATCAAACCCAGGAACCTCACATATACTGGAAAAGTGCTCTACTACTAAACTACACCCTTAATCCCTGTACAGTTCATTAACTAATCAAACAGAAGGTTTAACCCTAACCTAAAAAAATAACCAAATCTGTCAAATACCAAGGTATTTCAATGAAAAAAGTTCAAAGGAAATATAGATGATACTAAGTTATCCTTCTTTTACTCTATTAAATAAATTTAAAACAAAAGAAATACAGATGAACTGGAAAATTTCAAAGACTCATTTAGTCATTAAAACTTCTCAATATTAAGGATTATAAAAATTGCTTTTCCCCTTTTTCACAGCTGCCCACATATGCTGACAAAGTTTTTGTTTCTTTTTCAGTCATGTGTATTAGTACTAGAAATTAAAACTTGTCTCTCTAAATGGTCTTGAGGCCTTCATCTACGTTTTTAAAATTAATGCCTGAAAATGTACTGTATTATTTATAACAATGGCAATTTGAAAACACTGAAGTACCCACCTTTACTGGAAATTTTAACTGGTTATATACTTCTGAAACAAGGAGATTGTGGCTAAGTGTCTTTCTCATCTTCATAATCCGAACAATTGCAGCATCAATTTGGTATTGTCTATCTTGAAATACTCTTTCTGTAGTGCTTGCTTGTTCTTCAACCTAAAAACAAATGTCTTAAGTTAATTCACTGTACCTGAAGTGAAACTTGTATTAGTCACAAACATAAACTGTATCTATGTTAGGGACATGATTTTTTTTTTTAGTACCGGAGATTTAAGTGTGCTGAGCTACACATCCTCAAGGCCCCTTTTTTTAAATTTTCGGACAAGGTCTCGTGAGTTGGCAGGGTTACCCTTGAACTTGTGACCCTGCTGCCTCAGTCTACCAAGTCACTGGGATGACAAGCCTGTCCTATCATGCCCAGTTGGGACATGATATTACTGTTTTCAATGTACTGAAATATCTAAATGTGACCTTATAAATACAGATGCAACAGAAAAAAATTCTACAAATAACAAACTTTTCTCTTACTCTTTTCCTAATACATTTGTATGTGCTGTTTATGAGGAGTTATTGATCAGATTTCTATATGGCAATAGCTAAAGTATAATGACTCTGACCTCTGACTCAAGGCACTAATGAGCTAATCAAACTAGTTAAGGGTCAGTCTTTGAAAATTCATTTTTATTTGGTAGTATATAAATCCAAAATGCATGGTTATATTCCTTCAAAAGTAACAGAAATTTAGGTGTCTAGGAGACAGTTTACCAATCCTGATGCTAAAGTAACAATGCTAATCTTTAGTAACTAAAGCAAAATAGCTTGCACTTTTTGTAACAGTTTCTTTTTGGTATAGCACAAATACGGACAAAGTAATCTTTTAAGGGAACATGTTCTTGATGTTATGTGAAAAAGTCAGAAACTTGTTTGAAGATACTGACTCTTTTACCACATTAAAATTTTTTCTCAAGTGGTGTATTAAACTTCGTTGGAACTGAAACCAATCTGTTTCAGGATACTATATTGGTTTCCTTAATAAAAGTGTCTTGCAAATTCAAATGACAAAAACAAAACATTTAACTCACTGTTAATGAATCAAATACTAACTCACTCAGATTTTTTTCACCGAGCAAGTTGTCAAAGATTTTAGAAAGAAAATCTCATCCTTAGTGCATGTGGAAGAGTAGCAAGAGAGGTACTCATACGCTGCTGGACAGAGGCTAACCAGGTCCAGCCTTTCTGGAACACATTAAGGCATTATTTATTAAGACTCTTAAAATGTTCACCATTGTTCACCATGACCAAAATGGTCACCTTCTTTGACCCCAAAAATCTACTTCATGAATTTATCAAAGGGGAAAGATCAGACAGATTAAAATTCAGGTGCAGGTCTGGGGGTATAGCTCAGTGGCATAAGCACCTGCCTGCAAGCGCTGGGTCCTGAGTTTGATTTCTGGTTCCAAAAAAAAAAATCCAGTGCAAACATGCTTCTTCAGTCTTAGTTATAAAATTAAGAGGCATGAATTTCATTGCCAAACAATGAAATGATTGAATAAATTGTAACTGCCATGTAAAAAAATACTGTGGAGCTACTTATTATTTTTGAAGATTAGTTAATAACACGAAAGTTTTTTAAGATTGAATACTAAAGAAAGGATGTAAAACGATGTTGAATATCAATACAATCATGTGCACCTCCCAACAAAAAGAAACCCATAAATAAACACTAAAATACATCTAGATGTAGACACAGAAAATGTTCATGGTACTGGTATTATTAAAGGTATAAAAATCTTTATAAATGTGTACTATGAACACATATAATTCTAATATATTTGGACTAGAAAAAAGCAAAGGATTTACTGTTTCTTTCATCTGGATTTGATTGATCTTTATCCTGAAGAGTTTGTGTTTGAAATCATCATTACAAATGAACTTGTCACCATCTTCAATATCTTTGCCCTTTGGATTTTTTGCCAGAACTCTAGCTTTGCCACAGGCTAATGACTGCAATGTCCTCCTTAACTCTCCATCCTCTGAAAAGAAAAGAGGGATTGAATTATTTGTTAGTAGCTCACCAGTATGAACAGATACATTACAAACTCAATCTAGCTGCCATTCCTCTATCAAAATTCTTATTTGCCTAAGTTTACTAAAGACTTCTTCTTTGCTTTATACTGTAGAATGGCATTTCTCCTGGTCATCTTCTAAAAGGCATTAATTTTTATTCCATGACATTTCACTTCTTTCCAGTCCCACATTTAAAGGGCACATCCACCTGGCTGTTCTACCATCACCTCCAGTATTTCTATCTTTCCCATAAAACTGTGCTCTTTCTAGTTAGTAGTGATACTACTAAGCTGGTAAGAAACCCTGGAATCTTTTTTCTTTTAAGACAGGGTCTCACTGTGTAGTTCAGGCTAGCCTTGAGTTCACTATATAGCGCAGGCTGGCCTTGAAATTGCGACAATCCTCCTGCCTCAGCCTCACAAGTGCTGGGATTACAGGTGGGCACCATCACACCCAGCTGGAATCATCTTTTAATCCTCCTCCCCTTCATTCCTTAAGTGTCTAGCAGTTGCTTCCTTAGAGATGCCTCTTCTCCATTCTAACTTGGACTTATCCTAGTTTAAGCACCTTAGCCCTTTATCTCTGAAATAATCAATTCATCCTCTAAGTTGCCCTGCTGATTTCAGGTAAACTGTCCAAATATGTTCCTTTCATTCTTTCACACATTTAAGACCCTATAAATGTAAGTTTCATTTGCTAGATTTATCAGGCTCTCTATGATCAAGCCCTACCCTTTTTACCTATCAAATTTTGTAGCTCACTATTCTATGCTATAATTAAAAATTTATGATTCCTGCCTACACTATAACCACTCCTAAATCCAAGCCTTTCTCATACTATTTCCTTCATCTACCTTCTCCCTGAGCAAAATTGGCCAAGTTCAAGTTCCAGTTCCTATATCCCCAACTGTGCCAGTAGACAATGATCTCTTGCTTTGCTGAACTCCTAACAAACTTCTGGTCAGTACCATAGACTGATACTTACTGATTTTGTATTACTTCAAATGTAGTTTCCCCCTACCTTTCCATGGTTATATTAAGAGTACAGAAGAACTAGGCATGGTGGTACATGCCTCTAATCGCAGCACAAGGTCCAGCCTAGTCTGAAACAACTTGGTGACTTAATAAGACCTTTCCTCAAAATAAAAAGGGGGCCAGGTATGGTGGCCCATGACTGTAATCTCCGTTTAGGAGGCTGAAACAGGAAGATCACTATAAATTTGAGGTCAGTCTAGGCTACAAAGTGAGTTTAAAGCTGAACTACATAGCAAAACTATCTCAAAAAAACCCAAAAATAAAAATAAAAGAGGCTGAAGATAAATTGCAGTGTAAAGGCTTGGGTTCAACCCCCAGTATACTCCCCCACAAAAAAGAGAGAGAAATTATTCCTTTGTATTCCCCAGAGCACCTAGCATAGTGGTATGCACACAATAATGCTTGAAACATGAATGATTCAATACAAACCTATTCCAGTAGCTTGCTTGATCTCTTCTAAACTAAACTCCTCTCCCTCATTAAACATTAGCAGCACCAGTGTTTGAAAAAGAGAGACCTGGAGTTCTTTTTTACCCTGTTGGAGAAAAAAATTTTAACTCTTTTTAAACATATAAAAAATTAATCAAGTAACTAATCTCTTACAGGAAAAGCATTTTTCAATTAGTGGGTTTAGAAACACAGATTAACATTATCCAGAAAAAAAACTACTTGAGGTGGTAATACAGTATGTTTGCTGTAGTTTAGGAGAGATCCTATTGAAAATAAGGAGGTTTAGTTGACCTTTATCAGATCTTTTTTAAGCCTTATAATTAAAACAGAACAACAAAGTACTGTAAGTTAATAATTCAGCCCTATGTGTCATTACAGATATTCATCACAAGTAGCAAAAAATTACTCTTTCAAATGCATTTTTAACTTGCTTGATTCAGATTAGTCATGAAATGCTGCAGGAGCTTTTTGAAATTAGATATGGGGACCGTTCCCCCCTAACTCCTACTCTATTCTTTAGCTCCCAGCAACACGGTTTCTGTCAAACGGCAGTGTGAATTGTGCATTCACAGGTGGGGACAGAGGTTACTGGTTTAAGTTTTAAAGAATGGCCAAATCAATTGTGGGAAAGATCACAATCATAACATAAACACAAAATCATGACAAGCTATCACTACTGTCACACTTAACAGGTTGAGCCTTCATGTGAAGAGTTACATCAATATTAAAGATGAAAACTAAGTTTTAAGAATATCCATTTCCTAAGTAGGATACACATGTGTAAATACTGCATTGTTTCTCTGGTGTGAGACACCGAAAGTGTAAATAAGGACCAAAATATGTAATAGGTAATGTGAAATAGGAAGAACATGTTCAAATGAGGAGGGGAACAAGGGAGGGGGAAAGAAAAGGGAGAAGTAAAAAAAAAAAAAAAGAAAAGGGGGAAAAATGGAAACAAAGCTTTTGCAAATGAGGAGGGGACGAGGGGTTGAAGGGAGGGTAGGAGAATGGGAAAAAAAGGAACAAGTTGTATCAAGGACAGGTACAAATTCTCTATGGTGAATGGGATGATTATGTATATCTAAAATGTACCAATAAAATCTGATTTAAAAAATAATGCAAATGAAAAGGTAAAAAAAAAAACACTTCCTAGCAGGGCATGGTGGCACACACCTGTAATCCCAGTACTCGGGAGGCTGAGGCAGGAGAATCGTTGTGAATTTGAGGCCAGCCTGGGCTTTAAAGCAAGTTCAAGCTAAGCCTGAACTGCATAGCGAGACCCTGTCTCAATAAACAAACAAACAAACAAATCCACTTACCTCTTTAAATTCTGCTTTTAGCACACAATGTCCTAGAGTTGACTGCCACTGAAGTTTCCTGCCACTATGTTTGCCTAGATAAAATGTCTTGAAAATTTCCTGAAGTTTTACCATCTAAAGTAAATAAAATAAGGTTTATTTAAGCTCCATATCCAAGACCACATTTATCACTTTTTATACTTACCACATGTATAGTCATTTCTTAAAGTTTTAAAGACTATATCCAGTAGGTCCACTAATCACTTTGATCTAAGGTGACGATCTCCCAAATGCCAAATTTAATAGCATTCTCTAGTCTTTATACCCTTTGATGCCTCTGCACTACTAAATCATCTCCTTTACGAAATAGTCACCTTCAGTGGTTTTTTGCCTCCATACTCTGCTGGTGGTTACTTTACACTGCTGCTGCTTCTACACAGGTTTCCTTTGTAGGTTCCTTTCCCTATCTTCCTATCCCCTACCAAATGTGAGCCTTTTCTAATGTTCTGTCTCTGGCCTCTTTTCTTCTTCTTTCCTATATTCTCTTACTGAGGAAAACCAAGTCTATGGGCTCACATGATCATCTCCACAGGACTCTCCATATCTCCCCCTCTTGAGCCTTAGCCCCTTTTCTATGCTTCAGCCCTGGGCTAGGCATTTTCCCAAGAGTTAGTACAAATTTAGTCAAGCAGCCATCATTTAGCAATCCTGCTTCCAGGTAAAAGATATGTGAGAAAAATTTTTGACCAGTAGGGAGAGTGGAGGTGTAATCTGGGAAAATGAAAGAAGAATTGGGAAAATTAGCATTCAATCTAGAAACCTGGCATCATTAGCTGTGTGCTAAACTAGAAATGGAAATTGTAGTGTAAATATATTAGAAACCTGGCATTTGTTGTTGGTATGAACTACTGACATGAACTTTGAAAAGGCACCTATTTTTCAATGATAAAAAGGAAGTATTAAAAAAGTATTATTTATATGCCTATTACTAAAGCTCTAAACAGTAAATCTTACCTCTGGTGGCAGATGAACTTCCATAGGCACATATGTTGGCCAATAACCCATTGTCAGGATATTCACAGTTAATTCAATATTCCCAGGTACATTCTGATTCTGCATATACTATAATAAGATTAACACACACACTGAGATCTTTAAATCAAAGTACATATATTTCATGTCATAATAATGACTTATTTAACAAGTTACTCCTTGTGGAAATACACGCAGACACAGACTATCTTGAAATTATAAGCAAATATTAAGAGGACTTTAAAGCTGGGCGTGATGGCACACGTCTGTAATCCCAGCACTCAGGAGGCTGGCGGAAGAGGAGCACTGCAAGTTCAAGGCCTGCCAGGGCTGTGCAATGAATTCAAAGCCAGTCTGAACTACACAGTGAGAACCTGTGTCAAAAAACCAAAAACAAACAAAAAAAGACGGACAGAAAGAGGACTTTAAATGAAGTCTACACAAAATGCACTAGAAAAGTGCAAAGATTAACATTTTGATATAATGGCTCATAAGAATATCAAGACATCATTGTAGGCATGTCTGACTCAATTTCCCACATATAATTGGGCTGTTACAGGATCTTTTCTCCATTCTTTCCCCAAAACCACACACAGTCCACACCTTCTGAAACCCCTATATGGCTGGAAACACCTTGCAGCAACCCCCATTCCTCACCCTACTGGCCAACCCGAATATCCAGCTTTTCACCTGCCCAGTGCATGTTTGCAAGGGGTGATATTTAGTAGGGAAGGAAGAAAAGGAGGAAAGGACAAACAGACAAATCTTATTTTGTAGCAGCTATAGAATCTGTGACCCTACTTACTCTAATCATGTTCTTATGAGTCTTTCACTTTCCATTTCCCTTATATATTGATAAGAAAACCATTTCTACACCACGGAGAGGAAAATCTAATTTCCTGTTAGTATCACCTATATTTTTGTCTTTTAAGACAGGGCTTCACTATATTCCCCAGGCTGATATCAAAGTACTGCGCTTAGGAGATCTTCCTACTTTAGCCTGCTGAGTTGCTGTGACTGCAAGTGTCCACCAAAGCACCCAGCCATGTTCGTAAATATTTCAAAACAACTTTTTACCTGTATCTTCAAAACTATAGATGTAGCTTTTCATGCCCAATGTTCCCAAAGGTTTCATACAAACACTATTGCCTCTCCTCCATCCTCATTTCAAGCTCCGCATGTGCAAATCACCAAGTGATCAGAAGCTGGGCAAAACCTTGATCCTACTGTCTAACTAGCTCTTCTGGTGCTGATTTCAGTCCAGTACATTTTATTTCTATGTCTGTGTTATTCTGGGTGTTTATGAAGACGAAATTCTAAAGTAGGTAAAAAATACTTACATTTCATTGATGATCTTTCTCCTCTACTCTGAATATCATTTAAGTTGCTATAAAGTATTTTCAACAGATAAATGATATATCCTCTTCAGTACAAATTGCCACAAGGAGATAACTAAATATATTTCAGTTCGAAGAATTAAGTAAGAGTTTAACTCACTTTTACCTGTTTGAACTGAATCATGATGTCTTTAGAAAGTTCCATGTCTTTAAACATTCCTTCAAGTTTGCTGGTGAAAGCAGCTCCACATTCTAGCAAAGATTTTTATACATTTATAGTATTTCAAGGTGGTTAAACACAAAGAATTTAAAATGGGAAACATGAAAAGCAAAACTTACTTTAGCATGACATATGATCTGCAATTATCCATAAGAATGCATGCCCCGCTAATTCACCACATGTACATAAAATGACTGACAAAAGAGGCAGTCAATTAACAAAGTAAAAATTAAACTAACGGTTTCCCTTCAGAAATCAAAGAAAAGGAAGAGAGAATGACAAACATACCATGTTTAAGTTTGGACAGCATTGATTTTTCAGCATCTACAGATGCACTCTTCCCAACTAACAGGCGCTTGGCTAAATCTTTCTTATAGAAGGCCTCAAAAACATCCTTGCCTATGTTGAACAAAAAGCACAAAACTTGTAATATGCCAATTAAAGTTCGGACAAAATGGCTTTTAAAGGGCTTAATCAATCAGCATTATTACAAGTTGTTTTATTTTATACATTTTATCCACATTTGTTTAAATTCAAGAACACTGGGTCTATTTCTGTACTAGACATATCGAAAGTTCTTTTCTGTAAAGAATTAACAGTGCATTAACCTTTCTTCAGAAAAGCTTTAGTTAACTGATGGTTTTAGAGCCAAAATTCAAGAGATTAAAACAAGCAACAGAAGTTCAGGCTCTTAATAGTGGGAAAGTCAAAGTATATGGCAATTAAATAACATTCCTTCAGTATCCCAAATGAATTAAATACAATTTTAAACCTAATTCCAAATAGTTCCTCTAGGTTACATAAACCTGTTAGTTTCTCATGTGAGTGCTTTGTCTTTGAAGAAAACTTTTTATTTTTTTTGTTTTGTTTTGAGACAGGTTCTCACTATACAGTTTAGGCTGGCCTTAAACTTACTACATAGCCCAGGATGGCCTTGACTCACGGCAATCCTTCTGCCTCAGTCTCCCAAGTGCTAGGATTACAGGCATATGCTACCACACCCGGTGTAAAATAAAATACTACAAAAGTAATAAATACTTACCATAGATAAACCTAAATATGATCATAATTTTATCCAACATTTTCTCAAGTTCTTCATCTGTTGCTTCTTTGTTGCCTGCACGAAGTTTTGAATCTACATACTTAGCTAAAATGGGAGGAAAGTTTGTTGTTTAATGATCATGGTTATCCATAAGGTACTGGGCACTACATATACCCAAACAGAAGTGACATATACTGAGTTTTGCTGTGCTTCAGACAGATATAGATGAGATATAGAGATACAGAAATAGATACACAGATACTTTCTTAAGTTTCCAAAGTCAGGGAAGTCAAGTTCAATGCCATAGAACTAATAAACACTAGAGCTTGAACTCAAGCCCAAGTCTTCTGACTCCAGATTGAGTGCAGTTTCCACTATAAACATGTTTACTAAAATCGAGTATGGCTGCACACAGCTCTGTGCAGAGGTAATCAAAGCAGCCAGAAGACACAGAGCATCTTCTGGAGTTTCCATTTTATACTGATGACAACAATTCTTAAATAATACTTTTCTATTAAAATAAATCAAATATACTACAGAGTAGAAGGCAAAATTTGTCAAACTTTTAAAGATAAACAGACTTCAACAAAATGTAATCCTTTTGGCAGAGGGTCAAAAGGGTTTCAGGGGTCCTCTCCTCTGACATTAATGTGTACATAAGTGGGAAAACCCGAGACACTGCAGGATACACCGTATCTGTACACTACATGTACCGAGTTATTTGGTTTATTTTCATGCTGGACTTTTTTCTTTTTCACTCACAACAGTAATTTTACCCTGCCCTTTATTGTAGCCCAAACTGTAAGCCTATAGCAAATACTCTGCCCATTTCTAAGTCACAAGAGGCTTGGAAACCAAATAAACTTACTACGGGTAAAAGTAAGGCCCAACATTTTGTCTTAAAAAAAACATTGTGTTTAGCATGTGGGCTTTGAGACATTCTTTAACTTGAAGGACTTTTATCCCTCAATAGAACCAGGGCCTTCACGCTGAGCTCCCTAAAGTGTTTTTGTTGTTGTTTTTGAGATACAGTCTCACTAAGCTACTGAACTGACCAGGTTGGGTTAAAACTGTGATCCTTCCACCTCAGTCAGCCTCCTAGAATGCTAGGATTACAGCTGTCTACCACCTTGCCCAGCTTGAAGGACTTTCTTAAATCCCCATCCTTACGAACACTTTTCAGATTTGGTTTTACCAGCTAAGCAACCCCAAATAAATGAGGTGCTGGTATCACAGAACCTTGTCAAAATTTCAGATTGAGAGTTTCTGAATAAAAGAACAACATTAAAAAACGAGCAAAATGATTGGAAACATACCTATAAGTTCAGCAGGTTTATTTGGTCTTTTGTTAATGAATGTTTCAAATGCTTCTTTCATAGCATTGATAAATTTCTCATTCTTCAGAAAGCAGATATCAATTATATGGTCAACTTTATCTTTAAAATCCAGCAATTCTTGAACCATAGTTTTATCTTTTTCAGGATTAATAACAATAGTGCTCCCAAATGCCTAAAAACAAAAATTGCCACATTTTACAGGACTTGATTATCTACAATGAAAACAACACCAAAATCACATTCTAACTTGGCATATGCATTTACAAATCCTAAAATATTAAGACTGTTTATGAAGTGAGGAAACGAAAACCAAAGTGTTAAAATAGTCAAACTGATACCATTCATCTATAATTAGAAAAATAGGAATGACCAGTAGGTACACAATACCCTAACAGAGTATTATTAGAACCCTCCAGGATCTTATTCACTCATTCATTCATTCATTCATTCATTTATTTGCAGTGCTAGGGACTGAACTCTGGGTCTTCACACCGATCTATATTCCCCAGCCCTTTTTAATTTTGAGACAGGGTCACATTAAATTGCTCAGACTGGGCTTGAACTTGCAATCCTTCTGCCTCAGCCTCCCGGAGTGCTGGGATTACAGGTGTGCACCACCACACTCGTCTTTTTCTTATTTTTACAGAAGTCAGTTTTGAGTTTTTAAAGAAATGGCTATTAAAATTAAAGGAAGGAAAGAAATTGTGAATTCAAAGAAAAGCCCTCTTTCCAAATTCACTGCTTTAAGTTGTGCAACTAGAAATCACATGAGAGATCAATCAGGTTTTACTGCCAATATGACACATGGCTACCATTTCTCCGGGTGATTTCTCAACATTTTTCTTACAGTATAAAAAAAATTCAAATTTTCCTTACTTAATAATAATGTGGATCTAACAACAAATGCTTGCTGGTACTAAGTCTGGCTCAGATCATAAACCATGAGAGATGTCACACAGAAATTGTTAATACCTTTATGTATTCAATCCACTGCTGCAAGAGAACCTGAACTCCACCTCGAACTCTGCTGAAGAGCTGATACAGGAGAGATAAATCTTGAATTCGGTTCTCATCAAGGAGGTTATTTAAACCTGAATTTTGAAACATTTTGACATTAAGATATAGCAAACAAAGAAGGCCAGATATTTTAATAAAATTTAAGTTAAAATTATTATTGTGACACTGGCTTGAACTATGTATGAGTTATAATGTAGAGATTTGCTTTGAACTAAATGCAGATAGACAACCACCCTTCTGGGAGAAAACTAAATATAGCTGCTTTAGTTGATGATATAAAAAGTTGACTGTATAATGCAGTGGTGGTGAACCTATGCCACAGTGGGCTGTTTGTACCACTGAAAGCTCTAAAAGGTTCACCATCACTGGTATAAGCATTTGTGCCATTTATGTGGTAGAATCAGATTACAAATCAATTTATAAAAACTGGTTTACACAAATACACATTTCAAATACCTCATATATGCAATATCCACATTATGTCTAATATTAGCACACATAGCTATACTTCAGAGTATTGACTGTGGTCTGTGATATATCAGATAAAGAAGTTATCTATGCTGCTTACAGGAATCCCTTGGCTGCTAATAAATCAAAAGCCATGCAAAAATAGGTCAAGTTTAAGTGATGTTCTACTGTATTTAATTTTCAGAATGAAATAATGTAACTGCATTAAAGTTCTAAGTATGCCCATTTTAAACCAGGTGTGGTGGTGTAGCCTTGTAATCCCAGCATTCTGGGAGGCTGAAGCAAGAGAATTGAAAGTTCAAGCCTACCCTGGGCAAGTTAGTGAGAGCCTATCTCAAAATAAAAAAAAATAAAAAAAGGCTGGAGATACAGTTCAGTACAAAGGCCCTGGGTTTAATTCCCAGTACCACACACACACACACAAAAAAAGAACTCCCCAACTCCTATTATTTCTCTCTTTTCTTTTTAGGGTGGATCCAGGGCCTTGTTCATGCTAGATAAGCAGTCTACCGCTGAGTTACATTCCTAGCTATTCTCCACAATGCACTAGTAGATGCCTTTTCTCAGTTACTATATCTTTCAGAGAAGGAAATCGGCACCTCCATACAGTTTACCTTGATGAACAGGAAGAAGGGGTTGTGTCTATCCTCAGAAATGTAGCCACACACTTATCAAGATTTTGAAATGGCAATGTGAAAAAAAAACTTTTTTACTATTTTGCCACTATTTAAAGTTATCTCTTATTTACCAATTGCCAATTACCTTTTTGAAGAATTGCTGTTAAATGTTCACCTAGAAGTTGTTTTTCTACAGTAGCAATTAATGATTTCCTACAAGGAAAAAGTTTAGAATTACTGAATTTGACATTCTAAAAATGTAATGCCTCTCCTGAGAATAATTTTATGTTAGTTTTAATATTCTTCTCCTATGTAAAAATTTAATAATACTCAAAATTACTCTACTTTATGCCTAGAAGAAAAATAGTGTGCATTTAAGAATTTGATTTACATCATGAAGTAAATGTCTCCATGGTCTTGCTGTGGCTAGTTTTTTCCAAGTTTTTCTGCTTTTATTAGGAAGGTAAAGAAGCTACTTATGCTGGTTACAGGGACACCTTGGTTGGTAGTATTTAGAAAGGTACAAAAACAATTTGTCCTATGAACACTCATTGAATTTTAATCAGCCTAAAGATTTTTAAGATCACATCCACCTCTAATACTATTTTAAAATTATGTCCTGAACACACAACCCATAATCAAATCCTTGAATAAATCTAATTAGCTAGGGAAAACAGTAACTTGAATTCTGCATTATGAAAACAACCATTAAAGTCTAAATAATGCTTGAAAATAGTTACTAACGTGCCTAACATGCTATAAGTGATTTAACAACATTTTAAGACTATTAGGCTGAATATAAATACTTACTGAGTAGTCTGATCTAAGTAAGTAATAAGTCTGTCTGCTTCTTCTTCTAGACGTTTGTTAACATGATGAAGATATTCAGGAACCTACAAAGATAGTTTTTTATATTATTATTTTCCTCCCCACAAATCATTCAGAAAATGTCAAGTCCAAAAGATCCTAGAAGCAGCCCTGTCAAATGTGACAGTGTTGAAGCATATGTAAAATTACAGGTAGAGTTTATGATCCAGAATTCTGGCCTTTAAGAAGAAAGAAAAAAAGGAGCACCTAAGTGAGAAAAGAGCATCATAACATTGGGAAGATAAATGCATAGGGGAGTTTATGCTCTACGAAGTAAGGTTTCTTATAAGAGACAGTGGATTTATTAATCATGAATTTTAAATACCTCTCTTTCTTGCATTAACTTTTGGCCTTCAGCTGCATAGAGCCGGTTAGTTTCTTCCAAAAACCGCTCTTCAAAAGAATCTTGATAAATCTAGGGGCGAAGGGGAAAATAAAGGGGTTCATTTTTTTAATAAATATTTACTGAACATCTTCTATGTGAACAGCACCATGAACGTGGTTTTTAATCATCAAACAAGGGACAAAATCAGCTACATAGGTAATAAAGTAACTTACTTGCAAATCAGAAAGCATGCTTAAAAGACTTCTGAGTAAACTTGTATCAGTTGCTTCACCATTCCTTTCCCTCTCAGTCAAGAGAAGAATGCCATCAATTGTCTTATTCTGGACTTTCTGATCACTTATAATATGCGCCCTAAATAACTCCAGTCCCATGTCCCTAAAATAGAAAACATATAATCTAAATTAATTGACAATACCATTTCTGCAGAGCCTTCCTTGATTTCCTACCTCATGTTAATTAGCCCTCCAATTGTAAAAGGGTAAAATCCACACATTTATTATTATTTTTTTTGGTACTGGGAATCGAACTCAGGACCTTGCACTTGCCAGGCAGGGGCTTATGCCACTGAGCTATATCACCGGCCCAATTCACACATTTTTGAATACACATTACTAGGTTAAAGCATACCAGAAACTCATTCTGTCTTTAATGAGAACTGAAGCTAAATGCTTGTCTTCCTCCATAACTAAGTTCTACTGTATTATTTCCTCTGGTAGATTTCTTCCTTGGTCAAATCAAGAGATAAAATTAGTTCCAGTACATGAGATTATTTTCACTGTACTGGTACTGAAAGCTTATCTGGTCATGTATTAACTGGCTTCAGTACTCCAAAACCAGTGAACTCTGATCATTGTTATAGATACATGCTACATACACAGTGAGAGCAAGAGTTCACTATACTATTCTATCTTTGTGTATGTTCACTTTTCCATAATATTGTTACAAGAAAGTAAGTAAACTTTTTTTTGCGACAGGGTCTCATTGTGCAGTTCAGGTTAGCCTTAACGTACTATGTGGCTCAGGCTGGCCTGAAACACAGAAATCCTCCTGCTTCAGCCTCTTGAGTGCTGGAGTAACAGATATGGCCCACCATGCCCAGCAAAAATGAGTAAACTCTTGATGGTCAGCAAAATGATCCATTTACAAATATTCTAGAGCAAATTTTAGCCCTCCTGCCTAACGAAGGAACTTCTTAATATGCCCAAAGTGAGCTGTCTTCAACATCAGCACAGGCGAAACAGCATCAAGTAGGTAAACTTGCTATAAAAGACTAGAAGCCAAATGTGAATTTTCAGGAGAATATTCACAGTACTATTTGCTCATTCAGTAGCTTAATTAAGACCATGATTTGTAACAAATCTTCATAATATTCGTAATTATTTTTCTCACATCCTTACCAAATGGAGGGTAGCATTGAATTCTGAAGAACGTAAGTTCTATCCAGAAACAAAAAAATGCTCCTGATCATGATCTGTCAATGAAAAACAGAAAGCCAATAATTTTTAGACTTTGTGAAGCCAGCATATTTATTTTGATAAAATACGGAAACTGAAGGGTTTTACTCTAGACTAGTAGGATGCAACATGCAGATAAATACATCTACCTGAGAATATGCCCATACTATTTTCATTAAGGCATTCTATTGTCTTATTCTTTGCTGTGTTTTCTAGAAAAGAGACACTTAAAATGGTCCTCTAACGTCTTTGATACTTGAGAAATAACTGAAAATAAAAACAAAGGATCAAGGGGAAACTCATACAATCCTTCCTTAGCAACAGCACTTGGGGATGAAGCTACCTTAAAATTGTACCTGTGGCACTTGCGGCGGGGGGAGGCAGGGGTGACCTGCCTCCAGCCAGTAAAGGAGGCAATATATTTTAACACTTTTACTTGCAGAATATAAAGAATAAATTACATGTGTAATCCCAGCAATTGGGAGGCTGAGGCAGGAGGATTGCCTTGAGTTCAAGGCCAGCCTGAACTTCATAATGAGACCCTGTCTCAAAAAACAAACAAAACATGAAAAAGAGAATAAACTAATACTAGGCTAGGGACAAGGGAAAAGGTTGTGATCTAAATAAACTAAAATACCATCAGGCAATCATACAGTGAATAGGGAGCCATCAAGACTTGCTGGGGATGTAGCTCAGAAATAAAGTGCTTACCTAGCATGAATGAGGTCCTGGGTTCAATTTCCAGCACCCCCCCAAAACAGAGACAAAACACAACTTTTTAATGTAATAAATAATTTTTTGGTTAGGTGTGACAAAAATAAAAATGACTCTAAGGTACAAGTCATTTTGAAATGTTGGCTTGCCTCTAATTTGCAATTTTAAAATTTAAAAACTCAATGTTTCCAGTTCAGAAAAAGAACACTTATTAAGGCAGTCTCCCTATCGAAAAGCTTTTAAAACTAACATTGCTTCCAGAAGTGGTGACACACCAGGAAACCCAGCTATTCCGAAGGCTGAGGCAGGAAGATCACAAGTATGAGGACTGCCTGGGCAATTTTAAGAAGACCTTGTCTCAAATTTTACAAAAGGGCTGGGGGTGGACGCTGTAGCTCAATTGTCCCTGGGTTCAAGCCCAAGTACTACAAAAAAAAAAAAAAAAAAAAAAAGCTGGGGATATAGCTCAGCGGCACAGCTCCTGCCTGGCAAGCACGAGGTCATGAGTCCAATTCCCCGTACCAAAACACAACACAATACAACAAAAAAAACTAACATTCCTATACTTGAAAATAATATTTTAAAAAGACTATGTTTGGCTGAAATGTGATACTCTTTCCACCTTACCATTTGCCTACAATGGTTCTGCCAGCATCTATCGATCTTCTTTAGAAAAAGAACACTATCCAATGAATCCATGAGATGTATGTTAAAGATATTTTAAAGTGCTTAACGCAAGCAATATATGCAATGTAAGAGAACATTTGTCTTATATATGGAATACACTATACACGAAATGAAACAATAGCAACTACTGAACAAAATGTGATTTCTTAATCTGCAAAAAAAGTTTAGATCCCACTAAAAAGCATCTTTAAAAACAAGTCTTAAATATAATTGATTTCCATCAGATTATCTTTCATCAAATGGAAATTTGGTAGGATAAAAGAACACAAAGGGTTAACACATAAAGAAATTTTATTTATTGGGGCTGGGGATTTAGCTCAGTGGCACAGCGCCTGCCCGGCAAGCGCAAAGTCGTGAGTTCAAGTTCCGGTACCGGAAAAAAACCAAAAAAAAAAAAAGAAATTTTATTTATGTGAATGTAACATATAGATTTGGACTCTAACAAAGCTAAAAAGTAAAAAATTTGTCTCTTACTTTGGAAACACAAAGGATAAAAGCATCAAATCAACAAAACACATGCATTCCACTTTAAGCTGGGTCACGGAAGGAGGGAGAAGACAAAAATGTAAGGCTTTTTTAAAAAGGATATTCTCTGAACTGGTGAATTTGTGCTTTGATGTGATCTTCACAAATCTGTCTCAGTTGTTTGTATAAGTTTGCAGAAATCTTGTAAGAACAGAGATTTTCCACAGCCTGAAAGATTGAACACACACTTTCTTAGAAAGACGACAGAGGGGTTGCTTCTCAATTATTTATATAAATGTCCATTATTTTGTTATTTCTACCACACTGGCTTATTAAACTATGTTATTCATCCATTTAAGACACAAGTAAAATGACTATATATATATGTATATAATATACGTGGGTGGTAAGCTTTTTCATGACCAATGTACTACATAAAAAACAAGTTAAATATATTTACGATTGCTGTACAGGGTAAGGAGAGGGAATCAAGCTAATTTTCACCCTGTGAGGATAACCAATTTGTAGCAACTGCTACATATAAAAGCTGAGTTATTCTTTAAATTGTTAATTATTTTCACAAGCAAAACTCCATTTCAAGTTTAAAAACAATTTCACCAATTTTTTTATGCATCAGATGGATCAGGCACTCTTACTACAAATGAATTAAAACTTATTTATATTTCCTTGCGTTTTCTCAAATAGAAAAAGTAGAAATTATTGCTATTAAAATGAGTATGATATAACTAAATAGCAAGAAAATTTTCCAACCTTGCCATTTTGCAGAAGTTTTAAAATTTGCAAATCTGAATGAACATTAGTTACAAAAGAACTGACTGCATTTTTACAAGGAAGTGATAGTTGAATAGTTTTCTATTATACTCAAGTCCTAAAAGAAACAAGCTTCAGACTTTAGTAAGTTTCTTAAGCGTATCAAAATCTTTCAAATTTAAAACAAACATGGCAAATCTCTGGTGAACTATGATATAATCTACAATTCCAACTGGGAATCACTTACGTATAATACCAAGATTCCTTCCTCACAACAGAAGACAAAAATCCCATTCAAATGGACTCCAGAGGGGGCAGGCAAGTTTTGTTGGTTGGAGTGGAATTTTATAAATATGTACACATTGTTGGACGTCACATTCTCAGTGTGCAGGTCCAGTAAATAATTTGGCAGATAAAGTGAAAGCTTACAGGAACCCACGTCATCACTGGAGGGAAGTCTCACCAGGAAACAGCAAGCCAATTAGACTCAGGAGGTCTGGAGGAATAGGAAAGCTGAGTCTCCTCCGACCGCATTCCATGCGACCTCAGGTTAGGCCACAGATACCTACGGGTGTGGTAGTATTTATTTTATGCGCCTCTGTTCACACTGGTCCTCTTTCCTCCTTCAGTATTCCTCTCATTGTATTTCAGTGCTCCTTTTGAATGCCTGACCCATTTTCTCTGCAGTTTTCATTTTCCTGCCTAGATTCTGGCATATGACTTAGTGTACTGCGTCTTTGCTTTTCCTACTTTCAGAACTTCTCTAAATCCTGTTTATCCCATTTTCTTTTGCTGTGTTCTCCTTTCTCTCATAAACCAGTTCATTGACACATCTGTTTATCCTCTCACACAACATACATGTACACTTCTTGGCCTACTTCAAGTTCTCAGCTGCCTCAGCTGCCAGTGAATCTCACAGGACTCGCATCAATCATACTACACTGATTTACCATTAAGTCAAAATTATTTATATTTTGATATGACTTCTTGACTCCTGATCCTGACTTCTTGATTCTCCTTAACGTCTGAAAGTGATCACATGGTTAGGTATCCATAAGTGCTTTAGTACTTCTTGGTTTTGTAAAGGAGATGTATTAAATATTGAAAAACTAATATATAGCCAAGTGTGGTGTCACTTCTGTAATCCCAGCACTTGGGAGGCTGAGGCAGGAGGAATACCACGAGCTCAGGTCAGCATGATCTACATAGTGAGTTCAAGGGCAGCCTGAAGTACATAGCAAGACCCTGTCTCAAACAAACCACAGCAAAACAAAACCAAATATACCCATAACTGCTGTTCATCTAGTAGAATGAGAAAACTGGACAGAAAACATGTAATTACAACAGTATTCTAGGTGCTGAAGTAGGGATAAGCAAAGACATGAGGCCCTTAACCTGTCCTTCAGAGGACTGCAAGTCAAGAAAACTTTTCTGGCTAGGAGTAAAGAGGCAGTTACAAAGATCTAGAGGAAAATAGACAAAAAGCTAGTAAGAACAGTGAGACTTAAACTAGGCCTTCATCTGTGTTTAAATGGAAGGTGGTTTAAGAAGTATAAGGTAGGCTGGGGTTCAGCTTAGTGGTACAGTGCTTGCCTACTATGCATGAGGCCATGAGTTCCATTCTCAGTACCCAAAAAAATAGTTTGAGGCAAGAAAGGCAGGAACATCTAAGGTGAGTTCTGAGGGCCAAATGCAAAGGGAACATTCTAGTTCTCTCATTTAGCCTCAAATACTACCTAGTAACACAAAACAAATCTTCCTTCCTCAACAACTTTCCATCAAGTAGTTCACATGTATAGTACTGCTATGGATCAATCTCATAATAGGCATAAGTAAAAGGCAAAGGACAGAATCGAATGGTTTATGATCCATTCTCACTTTGTAAAAAATGAATACAAATATACAGAACTGTTTTTACATACATAAAACATTTCTGGAAAGACACTAAGAAAACTAATAATGATCCTCGAGCAGGGACTAGCTATGAGGTCAAAGCGGGTAGAAGTGACACTTCCCACTACATGCCTGTTATGGCTTATGTCTAGATGCGCCCTCCAAGCCTCATGTGCTCAGAGGTGGGGCTTTTGAGTGACTGGGTCACTGGTATGTGATACTGGATTAGTCTACTAGTTGGTTTAGCATAGTTCTGGGTGCTGGTGATGGATCTGGTGAAGAAGGAAGGCCCACCAATAAGTGGTGGGTGGCACCTGCCAATAAGCTTGCATCTTCCTGCCTGCCATGCCTGCCATGCCACCTTGCCTTGCAGCCAGCCAACTACAGACTGAAACGTCTACAAACTGTGAGCTAAAATAAACCTTTCCTTCACTTGTGGGTTTCAGGTATTTTGCCCCAGCAATGACAAAGTAACTCAGACAATGCTACGTAGTACTTCTTGGGCTTTCAACCAGATAAATATATTAAGTATTGAAACAACTTCAAATACTTGCTTCCCCAAATAAGACTCTTTCCAGCTTCTCCACCACACATCTTAACTGGGCACCCAGGGCCTGGTCTTATCATTTTAGTCTCATGTGTGATTCTAACCTTCTACAACTCTGATGTAAGTACTTAGCTTTCCTTAATCTTTTTTTTTTTTTTTGGTCTTTTTGAGACAGGGTCTCGCTATGCAGTTCAGGCTGGCCTTGAGCTCACTCTGTAACCCATGCTGGTCTCGAACTCACAACAATCCTGCCTCAGCCTCCCGAGTGCTGGGATTATAGGTGTGTGCCACCGCCCGGCTCTTTCCTTAATTCTGAACAAGACTGCTTGGAACAATCATGTATGCCAAGTTTTCTGTTCTTCCAAAACTTTCTAAAATTTCTGACCCTATGGCACAGTAAAAAAAAATTATATCATAATCCACTGCACAAAAATTTATGTATTAAAACAAAATCTTTGCAAAATGACACATCATTACTATGTGTGACACACTCTGAGATCTTCTATTACATTTGTTTTTTAAAATGCTGACTAAAGGACTGAGGGTGTAATTCAGTGATAAGAACACATGCCTAGTATGCTGAGGACCTGAGTTCAATTCCCAGCACCACTATATCAATATATACATACAGTACATGCATACATGCTAACTACAAATTATTAATTTCGTGAACCTACTAGAACATAAGCACCTTAGGAGCAAGGACTAAGTGATTTCTGTTATCATCAAGGTGTCTGGAGCTTTGCACACAGGAAGCAGTCGTCAACAAGGAATGGGTGCTTACTAAACAATCTGTATCATTAGGTGCTTGGACAGAAACAAGAGTAAGAGTGTCTTAAATTACTAATTAAGAGTTTGAGGCCTGGCATGGTGGTGCAGGCCTGTAATCCAGCACTTGGGAGGCTGAGGCAGGAGGATCATTGTGAGTCTGGGACCAGCCTGGGCTACAAAGTGAGCTCAAGGCCAGTCTCAACTGCACAGCAAGACCCTGTCTCAAAAAGACAAAAAAAAAGTTTGAGATAAGCTCTATTTTATTGTAGACCTTTGAAATTTGCCTTTTGAAATACATCAGTTATTTTATATTTCACTAAATAACACTTTGGAAATCTCTGGAGTTAGGTCTAATACACATTGCTAAAATAACCTTATGTTTGGGGGCTGGGGATTTAGTTCAATGGCAAAGCGCCTGCCTGGCAAGCGCAAGGTCTTGAGTTTGATTCCTGGTACCGGAAGAAAAACAGAAAACAAAAAACAAAAAACAAAAAAAACCTTATGTCTCTCAAGTACCTATTTATATTAAACAGATTCTAGGTAGTTTTACCAGTCCTTTAAATAAAACTTCTTTCTATTTAAGCTCCCAACCATTAGTAGCAAATATGATGTCTTAAATCTTCTGAAGTAGCCAGATATAAAACATATTCTACAAACTTTTAACCTTTATTCCTCCAAATCCCAGCCCCTCTCCACCAAATTTCACTCACATTAAAAACGTGTTTTAAAACACACACATCCGAAGAAAATAAAAGCGGGAAGCAAATGAAATGCAAAGTTTTACTTAACAGACAATAAAACAAATACTACATTCCCACCATGGTGCTGAACTCTAATCTTCTGCTTAATGGGTTAGTACTTAATTTTCCAACTCAAAAAAAAGGAAAGCACACTAAAAAACTTTTTAAAACTGGTAGTAGTAGTAAAACATAAGTTATATCTTTCTGCAAAAAAGAAACCAATCATAATGAAACTTAAATTACTTTTCTTTTTACATCTAATAAACATGACTTAAGTAATATAAAAATCAAGGACTAAGAATTTATAATTCCACATGTTTTTAAAACAGCAGTGATAGTGCTGATTAACAATTCAGCAGAAAAACGAGAAACACCTAACATAACAGACCAAGTTTAAAACACCAACAGGTTGACAGCAGTTAGACTTACAAAGAATCCAACAGCTAGGCACCAGCACTGTTAAGAATCTAACTCACTCTCCTATAACCATTGGCTGCTTAAATAAT